GGGATGTGAGACCACGAGGGCACCACCACCACCACCACCACCATTAACAGCAGCAGTAGCAGTTATTGGTGGCGGCGACAGTAACGGCAGTACCGGTAACAAAAACAGCATTAATAATACCAGTGTCACCTCAGCAGTAGTAACAGCGGCAACACAGCAATACAGCAGTGCCTGGAACGTGCCAACTCTCCCCCCTTACGCCCCCTCCCCCACCACCACACCATGCATGCACCCACGCCTGCTGCCCGCTCCTGCCTCCCTTCCTTCCCTCACTTCCAGACGTGACTTCTACCCTTCCCTCACCCCAACCCCTGACCACCTCTCTACTACCTCTCCACTCCTAACCTTATCCTCCTCCTCCACCCTTACCCTGCCTACCCCTCCACCCCTACCCTGCCTACCCCTACCTTACACCCCTACTCTACACCCCCTACACCCCTACTCTACCCCTTACACCCCTACCCTCCCCCAGGCCTTTTAAACCACTTGCACTTCTACCCCGAAAATCAATACAGTGTGAGAGACGCCGTGTGATGGTGTACTGAAGTGATCGATAACACAATACTTTCATCCTAGCACCATCATACACCACAACACCATCATACACCACAACACCATCATACACCACACCATCATACACCACAACACCATCATACACCACCAGCACCATCAGTACACCAACACCATCATACACCACAACACACTCATACACCACCACACCATCATACACCACCACACCATCATACACCACAACACCATCATACACCACAACAATTAACACACACCACAACACATCATACACCACACCATCATACACCACAACACCATTATACACCACAACACCATCATCATACACCACCACACCATCATACACCACCACACACCATCACACCACACCATCATACACCACAACACCATCATACACCACAACACCATCATACACCACACCACACCATCATACACCACCACACCATCATACACCACCACACCACTATACACCACCACACCATCATACACCAGCAGCACCATCATACACCACCACACCATCACACACCACAACACCATCATACACCACAACACCATCATACACCACAACACCATCATACACCACAACACCATCATACACCACAACACCATCATACACCACCACACCATCATACACCACAACACCATCATACACCACAACACCATCATACACCACACCATCATACACCACAACACCATACACCACCACACCATCATACACCACCACACCATCATACACCACACCATCATACACCACAACACCATCATACACCACAACACCATACACCACAACACCATACACCACAACACCATCATACACCACAACACCACCATACACCACAACACCATCATACACCACACCATCATACACCACAACACCATACCACCACACCATCATACACCACACCATCATACACCACCACACCATCATACACCACAACACCACTACACCACAACATCATACACCACAACACCATCATACACCACAACACCATACACACAACACCCACACACCAAACTCCTCCCAGACTTTACCTTGAAGTAATATTAAAAGGGAGGAGGTATTTTACCCAGCACGACGCCACTGTCCTTCAATATCCTGCTAACGTCTTTACTGGGGTTGGCTGGGGTGTACTGGGAAGTGTACCGGGAAGGCTGGGGTGTACTAGGGTAGGTTCGGGTGTACTGAGGTAGGCTGGGGTGTACTAGGGAGTAGTTCGGTTGTACTGAGGTAGGCTGGGGTGTACTGAGGTAAGCTGGGGTGTACTAGAGGAAGGCAAGTTCGGGTGTGCTGAGGTAGTTCGGGTGTACTGAAATTGAAGCTAGGGTGTGCTAGAGTCAGTCAGGCGCCCCGCGTGGTCAGTGTATTGATCGAATGGGTGCAGGCAGCAGCTGGGGGAGGGGGGTGTCGTGGTGAGGGCGAGGTGGAGGAGGAGGGCTGGTGACGCGTGCCAAGGAAGCTGCAGGTCCCTCATTCCCCTCAATCTCTTCACCTCCCATTCCCCTCACCTCCTACTACCCTTACCATCCCCATTACCTTCTCCCTCCACACCTAACCTCCCCTCCCTCCCCACACTAACCTCCCCCTCCTCCCCACACTCCACACACAGTCCTCAACACACCTGCTTCTGCTCCCCCCCAACACCCCACTTACACGCGCCCGCCCTCCCTCCACCCCCACACACACCTCTCCTCCTTACCTCCCACCGTCAACACCTAACATTCCCCCTCGACACACCCCTCCAACGTGTGTGTGTGTGTGTGTGTGTGTGTGTGTGTAACATAGCAACACCCTCTCACTCACTACCCATCGCTCGTTTACTAAGCTTCAACACTTATATTATGAGGTTTCTCCCCACCACCTCCCCCACCCCAGCCCCTCCGTCAGGTGCTTCTCTGGGGAGATGGGGAGAGGAGGGGAGGGGACATGAAGTAACTACACACACACACACACACACACACACACACACACACAGTTAATGCAGTGTATCAACTACTGAACTGTGGGCAGCAGACGGGGATATCTTGATGTCGTTAGTTTAATTGTACCTACTGTTCCTGTATGACTGTACCTCTACTGTACCTGTATGACTGTACCTCTACTGTACCTGTATGACTGTACCTACTGTACCTGTATGACTATCTGTACTGTACCTGTATGACTGTACCTCTACTGTACCTGTATGACTGTGGGTACTGTGGTGGGTACTGTGGTACTGTGGTGGGTACTTATGGTGGGTACTTATGGTGGGTACTGTGGTGGGTACTTATGGTGGAGTACTGTGGTAGGTACTTATAGTACACTCTCTTGTTGACTGTAGTGGGTACCACATAGAACATAAGAACATAAGGAGTCTGTAGGCCGGTTGGCCTGTGCATGGCAGCTCCTGTCGAGAGTCACTACCACTCTCTAATCCATGAATCTATCTAGCCTCCTTTTGAAACTTTCCAGAGTTCCCGCACTTACTACAAAGTTGCTAAGCTTGTTCCACTCGTCCACCACCCTATTGAACCAGTTTCTTCCTATCTCCTCTAAACCCTAAACTTATCCAACTTGAATCCGTTGTCCGAGTCCTATCCTGCTCGGATATTATAAGAACTTTATCTATATCCCTTTGGTGGGTACTTATGGTGGGTACTGTGGTGGGTACTTATGGTGGGTACTGTGGTGGGTACTTATGGTGGGTACTGTGGTGGGTACTATGGTGGGTACTGTAGTGGGTACTGTGGTGGGTACTTTGGTGGGTACTCATGTTGTTGACTGTAGGGTACTTATGGTGGGTACTGTGGTGGGTACTTATGGTGGGTACTCTTGTTGACTGTAGTGGTACTTATGGTGGGTACTCATGTTGTTGACTGTAGTAGGTACTTATGGTGGGTACTGTGGTGAGGGACTGACGGTGGGGACTTTCTAGGTGCCGCAGAGCGTGATCGAGGTTGACCGCGGCCAAGATGACTCCCAAAACCACGTTCATTGTAAGTCCCCTCACCCCCCTCCATCCCTCACCTCCTCCCTCCGTCCCTCACCCCCCTCCGTCCCTACCTCCCCTCCGTCCCCTCACCTCCCCTCGTCCCTCACCTCTTCCCTCACTCCCTCCATCCTCCCCTCCCCTCCGTCCCTCACCTCCCCCTCCGTCCCCTCACCTCCCCCTCTGTCCCTCACCCCCTCCATCCCTTCACCTCCCTCCGTCCCTCACCTCCCCTCGTCCCCTCACCTCCTCCCTCGTCCCCTCACCTCCCCTCCATCCCTCACCTCCCCCTCCGTCCCCTCACCTCCCCTCCGTCCCTCACCTCCCTCCATCCCCTCACCTCCCTCCGTCCCTCACCTCCCCCTCCGTCCTCCCCTCACCTCCCTCCGTCCCCTCACCTCCCCCTCTGTCCCCTCCCTCACCTCTTCCCTCCTCACCTCTTCCCTCCGTCCCTCCCTCACCTCCCCTCTGTCCCCTCACCTCCCCCCTCCATCCCTTCACCTCCCCTCCGTCCTCCACCTCCCCTCCGTCCCTCACCTCCCCCCGTCCCCTCACCCCCGTCCCCTCACCTCCCCCTCCGTCCCCTCCCTCACCTCCCCCCTCACCTCCCCTCCATCCTTCACCTCCCCCTCCGTCCCCTCGCCTCCCCCCTCCGTCCTCACCTTCCCTCCTTCCGTCCCCTCACTCTCCCACCTTACCTCACCTCCCTCTCCATCATACCTCCCTCCCCACCGCCCCTCTCCATCCCCTCACTCCCCCACCTCCCCTCTCCATCCCCCCTCATCATCCTCCATTAATGCTTGCTAGTTATCGTAATTTTCTCTTGTTTTCATTTTATTAGTTTTATTTATTTATTTTTGTTTTTATTCAACCTTTTAATGCATTCTTTGTCGTGTTCTTTTTTTTAGATTATACTGTTAAGTGTGTGTGTGTGTGTGTGTGTGTGTGTGTGTGTGTGTGTGTGTGTGTGTGTGTGTGTGTGTGTGTGTGTGTACAGTTCTTATGCTCGTTTATTTCCTGCTTCGTTACATTATATTATATTAATATTTATTGTTCACACTTAATGTTCTGCCGCCTCGAGTCTCTGGTCAAAGTTTCCATCATTTTCTTTTCTTGGTTTTTTTTTTGCATGTTGTTTTGTTCTAGAAAAAGTATTTAGTTTTGTTTTAATTTACGGTGTTGTTTGTAAGTATTATAGTAAAAGCTTTATGTGTCTATTGTAGTAGTGTAGTAGTGTATGTCAAATGTGTAATTAAAGGTGTATATAAACTTTTACAGTGGTGTAGGGAAGTAAAGGATGATGGTGTATAACAACAGTGTAGATTATGATTATACAGTGTACATTAGGTGTGAGTGTAGGAGTGTATCCTCATACAGCAAGGATAGAACAGTGTAGAACTCAGTGTAACAGAGGGTGTATTGCAGCAGTACAAGAGTGAGTGTAAATACAGCATTGTTTAGCGACACTGAGTATTATAAACTAACACAGTATACACCATGTTACAGGAGGGTTACATCAGCGGAGACTCGCCACACCCGGTGTACTTAGTGTCCAGCGTCGGGGGCGTGGCAGCCACCGTCACCTCGGGCAACTCGACCCCCTCACACGACGTCAAGGTGGAAGAGGAGGACCCACTGGACGACAATAACTCCTTCAGTGACGACCCAACCTCAGGCGCTGGCGAGAACGACGAGGGATCCATGGTAAGAGGCCCCCCACCCCCCTCCCAGACCCTCCCCACCACCCAGCTTGGTCCTCTCAAGGCACCAGTAGGAGGGGGACCTTGGCAGATGGTGGCTTGGGGTGTGTGCCTGTGATCATTTTGGGGTTAAGTTGTCGTATATGGGTTTGTGCACAGTGGGGTGTTGGTAGTGCACAGTGGGGTGATGGTGGTGCACAGTGGGGTGATGGTGGTGCACAGTGGGGTGATGGTGGTGCACAGTGGGATGTTGGTGGTGCACAGTGGGGTGTTGGTAGTGCACAGTGGGGTGTTGGTAGTGCACAGTGGGGTGTTGGTAGTGCACAGTGGGGTGTTGGTGGTGCACAGTGGGGTGTTGGTAGTGCACAGTGGGGTGTTGGTGGTGCACAGTGGGGTGTTGGTGGTGCACAGTGGGATGATGGTGGTACACAGTGGGTGTTGGTGGTGCACAGTGGGTGATGGTGGTGCACAGTGGGTGATGGTGGTGCACAGTGGGTGATGGTGGGTACACAGTGGGATGATGGTGCACAGGTGGGTGATGGTGGTGCACAGTGGGTGATGGTGGTGCACAGTGGGTGATGGTGGTGCACAGTGGTGATGGTGGTGGTACAGTGGGTGATGGTGGTGCACAGTGGGGTGATGGTGGTGCAGTGGGTGATGGTGGTGCACAGTGGGATGATGGTGGTGCACAGTGGGATGATGGTGGTACACAGTGGGTGATGGTGGTGCACAGTGGGGTGATGGTGGTGCACAGTGGGTGATGGTGGTGCACAGTGGGGTGTTGGTGGTACACAGTGGGGTGAGGTGGTGCACAGTGGGTGATGGTGGTGCACAGTGGGGTGTTGGTGGTGCACAGTGGGTGATGGTGGTGCACAGTGGGGTGATGGTGGTACACAGTGGGGTGATGGTGGTACACAGTGGGGTGATGGTGGTGCACAGTGGGTGATGGTGGTGCACTCTGGCATATTGAGTTGTTGAGATTGTTGTCGTCTCTCTATTGTCCTTTCTATTATTTTGTGCACCGTTGGTCACAGTGCACTCTGGGATTTTGGCCGGCATTTTAAGCTTACCACACTGATATTGAAACAGTTTATTTAGCCAGAAAAAAAGATATACAGAGTTGACAATAATAACAATAGTAACATGGCCAAGACAATTGAGGGCCTGAGCCCCCTGAGTGACACCTGATATACTGTACCTGTACATTTATTGTCATCCAGATTAGTAAAGATAACATGGTGTTAATACTGTAATGTACTGTACTATTAAAGTTTCCGAGCCATTGTTCATTAAGATAAATGCGTCTTTGAAATCAGTGTCTTGCCCTAAGTACATACAGTATTTTGATAATGCGGTAATCCATGCCTTGAATTATGGTCACGAGGCCGTCACTGCACCTTCCCTGACAGTGCATCATTAACATATACATTATGAAAGATGTTTCTTGCTGACATTATCTGGCCTGAGTTGCTTCAGATCCCCTTTTAGATGACCCTTTATGTCACATCATTGGTCAGTTGTGACTCAGAAGAATCACTGATTAGTTGATTGACTTCCAAAGCAAATGTTTTGGTCAGTTTTCCGAGTGGTTGACAGTCAAAAGATTTTTCCAACTTTCTGATTGATCAAGTCACTAAAATTTCATGTGATTGGTTAGTGACGGTAGATCATTACAAAAGAATCAGCTGAAAAAAATTAAAAAGGGACATTAATACCGGTAATGATGATAATAATAATATAAAATATTTTTTATAAAGGGTTAAAATCCCATACAGTATACATAATGATACTAGAACAATGTGAATGATTGGCTGTCAATTGAACGTTTATTGAGGATAATTTAATGTTAAATTCGGCCTTGAAATCTACATAATTAGCAATTTGTTTGAGAGTTACCAGTTAGGCATATTATGTGCATGTTTTTACCTTCAGTTTTAGTGTTGATAAATTAATGTTGTCTTGCCGGTTGCCTGCTGCATGGGTGATGGTTTCCAGTTACCATAATATTTTAGTTTATTTCTGGCGAGTTTAGCAATTCTATATAAAGCTTAATTTGGTTCCTGCAAATAACAGTCATTTGTACAGAGTTAAATATTTCCTTTTTGAGGTGTACAGTAATTAATTTCTGCTTTACTCGCCAACATTATTTGCTATTTGATTGTGAAATATTATTAATTAAAACTCAACTAACTGAAAAATAACAAGTTAACATGAGCTAACTATTTAATATAACTCAGCCTTGTATGTGTGTATGTATGTAGTGTAGATAACTAACATATGTTGCCCGTACGCCACAACAGTCACCAGAGGTTATGATCTTCAGGCTAGTTATTAGACAAACTTGGCAATGGTCAGTCCATCCTGGGTTAGTTGAGTCATGAGTCAAATAATTCACCATTTTCTAGTGAATATTGACCTGTGTGTTGGGTTGTTAACTGTATGAATGGTTCAAGAGGTGAACTAATTACCACATTCAATATTTAGTTCCATTAATTAGGACATTAGGTTGGGATTAGTTATTAGTTCTTGTAGAGTTACTGTAGTTGGTATGTGTAGCTAACAAGTTACTAAAAGTTTGAAGTGTAAGGGTTGTTAGCATGTTAGGATCAATTAAATCTTTTACTTTCATTCATAGATAAATTCCCTCAGAACCTGAATTTAGTGTATTAATTCGTCTTCTTAATTAGTTGGGAGCATTGAAGTCATTAGCTTCTGTTAGGCATAATTAGTGTATCTGGTCACTTTTTACCGGGTTGTTAAAAGGTTCCTGACATGTGTTGGTGTCAAAGTTACAACTACTGTGCAGCCCGAACTAGTTGTCGTAAACCTGTACTGTATTACGGTTTCATTTTCACACTTAACTAATAAGACAGGTAAAGTTCTCCAAGCAAGGATGCAGATTATCTTTATTTAATTTATTATTCCCACCACTTGTCAGAGAAAACCTCCCATGTTTGGTAGTGTCACGCTGGGTAATACTGTACCTTCCTCACATCCAACCCATGATGCAGTGATAGGAGGCAAGGGTGGAGTGTCTATAAGTAATTTTGTTATTAGGTAATATAGAAACAACGGCACAGATGGGAGACACCACAAGTCTGGGTACAGCGACTCCAGCATAGATAACAGTCAAGGTTCAGTAAAAGGTACAGAGTTTCATCACAATAACAGAACAAATATACTGTAATATTGTCCATGTCTTAACACCACATATGCTTCAGTCAGGGTTAGTGTACATTTAAACATCAGGTCAACATAGTAACACCAGTATAGTACAGGTACAGAAATGCAGTACAGTATAGTACAGTACAGTACAGTACAGTACAGTACAGTATAGTACAGTACAGTACAGTATAATTACAGTACAGTATAGTACAGTTCAGTATAGTACAGTACAGTACAGTACAGTACAGTACAGTACAGTACAGTAGTACAGTACAGTACAGTACAGTATAGTACAATTACAGTACAGTACAGTACAGTACAGTACAGTACAGTACAGTACAATTACAGTACAGTATAGTACAGTTCAGTATAGTACAGTGCAGTATAGTATAGTACTGTACAGTGCACAGTACAGTACAGTACAGTACAGTATAGTACAGTACAGTACAGTATAGTACAGTTCAGTATAGTACAGTACAGTACAGTACAGTACAGTACAGTACAGTACAGTATAGTACAGTTCAGTATAGTACAGTGCAGTATAGTATAGTATTGTACAGTACAGTACAGTACAGTACAGTACAGTATAGTATAGTGTTAGAATATTAAAAGTACACAAACTGAGTCAATACTCACTGTTGTATCTTATCATCAACACAATGCTGTACATGTAAAGATTGATATTTATCTCACATCAAGTTACACACCTTTTAGCCCCAGCTGACATGTTGAAAGACTTTATTAATTGTTCGTTAGGTTAGGTTAATAGGTACCCCTGGCAACCTGTGCACCTAAGTATTACAGGCGGCCACAGGGAAGCTTGTGTAGTTCATGCTGGCCACCTTAGACTTGTATGATAGATGGACTAAATTGCCTGAGGGGCCACTGGCTGTGTTTGTGAGCCAGAGAGTTGCATAAGAACATAAGAATGGAGGAAACTGCAGTGGGCCTATTGGCCCATACTGGGCAGTCCCATTTACACCCAACCCCTATTGCTCATATATCCATCCAACCTATGTTTGAAGCTATCCAGCGTATTCGAGTTAATGATGATAGTTGGTAACTTGTTCCATTCATCCACTACTCTGTTACCAAACCAGTGTTTACCTATTTCGAGCCTAAATCTTAATTTGTCTAATTTAAAACCAATGTTAAGAGGTTCATCCTGGTTGAATAATAAATGTGAAAATTGCCACAAGTCACATCATTATAATAGTAACTTAAGGGAACAGCTACAGTCGAGAGCATTGTGACAACCAGTTAGAAGCATATTAGTTACCTTGTAGGACTAAAACAGTCAGTTAGAACTTTGGTAACAACCTCACAGGAACTCACAACACTCTGTTACAACTTTTCTGAGCCACTAAACTTGAATAATCTGGACCAATTGAGTAACTAGTTAAAACTGTATGAGATTACTGAGGAACATTTGTAAGCAGTCTGTGGACCAGTTAGTTTTGGCACCAGTCTTTATTAACTGTCTAATTCTGCACTGGTCTTAACATCTATTGGAAATTAAAACCGGTTAGGGAATGTATCTGTTTGACAAGTGAGAGACAAACTCCTGAGAAATTTCAGTTAATTAGTGAGTTTGTTAGAGCAATGCTTAATTTGTGCCGGAACGCGCCACAATGGCTTTCCGGCGCTATTATTTTGCATGAGTAAATTGTAAATGTAATAATATATCAATAAATACTGTCACCAGTATTATGTATATAATTTGTTGGCAAAGTGTCCCCACAGACCTTGGCAATACTAAGTGCATTGTCAGTTCCACAAACTCGGTCAACAACTGTCTCTTGCTCACTAGACTTCCACCACTTCATATTTTTCAAAACT